TCTGTGATTCTTGATGCCAGGAACAGATATTAAATCATCTCTACTTATTGTGTCCCAAATAGCTGTTGATAGTAATCACAGATCAGAGCCATGAACTTGGCTGTCTTCTGATCTCCCATCTCGGGTGCCTCTGTCTAACAACTTCTGCATTTTCCACTTTTCAATCACCTCAGGTATGAGAAATCAGGGCCAAAGCAGAAGCTATCAGGCACCCACTCTCTCAAAGTCCCAGGGCCAAAGATGCAGGCTCTCTAGGTCTCACTGGGAATACATAATGTTATTCCTCACTTACCAAATTAAAAAACTGTGGTGCCTGCTCTGATGCAGTTGGTACTTTACAGATTACATATCAATCACGATTGAGTTTTCTAATGCATTCTGTCTGTGTTTCTCATGAACCACCCATCATGAAACCAAGGCTTTGGGCACAGGAGCAGCTCAGTAACCCAAGGTAGGTAGAGGGAGGGGTCTGCTTCTTAAGACTTCACCAGCCTGACATGCACAAGGCCAGCAGCAGAGCTGGGAGTATTTTCTACTGCTGGTGAAAACACCCAGTCTAGCATCACTACTAGCACGTAAAGCCAAGTGACCTCCCTTTACTGGATGTCGACTGTAGAATGCAGATAGAACCGGGAGTCCCCGGTCCCTTGCATGGCCGATACTCAGGCAGCTCTGTAGCAGTACCAGCCCTGCTACCTGGGTGAACTTCCAAGGCCACCCCTGTAGTCGACTGCACCTATATTCAGTAACTTGAAAAGTCCTCCATTTCCTCCTAAGTCCTGGAAATTTCCAAAGAGCTGCCAGAGAACCTTTAACACCTTCCGCATGTCCCTCCCAGTTCCCTCTCGGGCTTGTTGTTTGGGAGGACTCATTAGTTGACAACCTGGAGAACAGCCCTTTGAAGGCTCTGTTAGGTAACTTTCATCCTGCGTCCTTTCTCAGGAGAAACACCTTCCAAAGCATCCCACGTGTTAGTCCAAGATCATGTCTCACGGAACGCTAGGATCATGTGGAAGCTGAGGGTGTTATTTTAGCTTTCCCCTAAGAACTTCCAGCACTAACCCTTTTAAGGTTACACTCGACTTATTTCTGAATTTCTTTGGAGACAGATGTATTTGATAGCATATACTTAAAAGATATCTGCTGTCCTGAAAAAGGTCCAGTGAATTCACAAGTCTATCAACAGCCAAATCACCCTAATATACATGACATCTTCTGTATGCTTTCTTTAGTGCTATGACATTATTTAGAACTTTGGGATGAAGGACACAATTTGGTTTCCAGAAACATTGTGGCAAAGGTGGAATGAGGTAGAGCAGGGGGTGATATAAGCCCCTTTAAAATCTTGCTGTGTTCTGCCATTTGGTAACTGTGTGAGTCTCAACAACACATCTAAGCACATAATCCTGCTTCCTCATCTGCACGAGGTTAAAAGTATCTCCTTTGCAGAGTTATAAGGACAAAATGTTTAAGGACTGGCAATGGCTTTCTCCCAACCTCAGACAATACACTTCCTAGGTGTTACAAGAAAGCTCAAACACAGAAGCTGGCCAAAATGACACTGTGCAGCCAAATCCACCAACACCTCAACATTTTTCAGCTTCAGTTCAAGGCTCTAATTAAAGTACTTTCCATTTTCAAAACAAATGTAAACAGTCATTACATACATCCCCTTCTTACCTTCCAGGAATAGCCTGAGACTGAGGTGAAACTTCCAAGTCCCCTGGACTACAAAGCTATACAGATAAAATGTCATATCCTTGCTACCCTATTGACCCAATTACATAATGGATCCTATGCCTCCTACCACATGGGTCTCAGAGAGGGTAATGGGTCCTTCCAGAGTGCTCAGATGTGTGGTAAGACTCCACCATGCAAGGGAACCCTGGCAGTGAAGTGGTGTACTCACTATCAAGACAAAAGTTCCACCATCACACCTGCAAGGCATGGAGTCTCCACTTAGGGTAGTAAAATGCATCTTTTATAATGACCAGTTCTTTATTGTTTATATGGATGTCTAATTGGAAATGTTATGTAACCCTAAAGCACAGAGCCTGCTGGAGCTATTAATAACCAGCTGCATCCACATTCTGAGGATTCTTCAAGCTGAGTTAGAGGGATCATCTGGTACTAATAAACACATCCATACACTTAAGACACAAACAAACCCATACATTCACTGTATATATGTAAACTTGGACTCAGAGAATGTGAATAATTTGTCCAAGGCTGTAAAGCTAAGTAACAAAGAGAGTCAGGAATAAACCCCAGGTTTCTCGGCCTCTTTTTTTCCTCTACACCTCTGACACATCCTTAAGGATGCATATACCACAGCCCTGGGACGGAGACTACACAGCATCGAGTATGACCGCCATGACCAAAGAGCACTTCTCAGAAGTGACAAGCACCCAAAGGAAATGTCTCATTGTTGTTATCTGCAACACACAAACCTTCCTGTCCCCAAAGAAATCTAAGGATTTCAAAGGTATTTTAACACGAGGCCATTATAGGTATAGTGTGGAAGAGCCCAGCTTTAAGACCTTCTAGAAAAGAAATGGGTTGAAGATAAAACAGAACTGAAAAGGAAGAATTTATTCTTGCCTGGCCATTTTCATGCTAGGGGGAAAAAAGAGCAAAAAAAGTGAGAAAATGGATGAATTAAAAACTAAGCATCAAGAATGGGAGCAACTGTTTATTGTGTAACCTAGCTTTGGATATTAGCTGTCTGATATATGATCTAAAAATTGCTATTTCATAATTATGTTATCGTTTTCAAAAGTAACTTAATGAAGATTGTTTCTCTGCATTCATTTTTATTCTAAACCTCACTACTTAATCATGAGGAGCACAATACACAACGCTGGGAGATCAAGACACATTATTTTCTTCTGAAGACCCTATGAGCTGGTCAAAAACCAAAGCTTGGCTCTGGTTTTATGAATCTCAAACAGCCACTAAAACTGCTGGGAGGTTTGTTTCAGGGAAAAAGGTGGCATATGCCCATTTCATTTGAGATTCAGTAACATTTTAAAAGGTTCATTAATCCACATCTTTAAAAGACCAATGACAACACCATTAACAGCCCATAGGTCAAGCTGAAGCACTCAGCTGTAATTAACAACCTAAAAGAAGGAGCTAAACATCCCTGTGGCCCACCTTCTCTTCACAGCCTCTCGGTATCCATACTTAGGCAGGCTCCACCTATCACTAATACAACCAGCAGATAATAGAGTTGGGATACCAAACCACTACTCCGCCTGCTTGCATTAACTGTTAGACTGAGAAGGCCTTACCTATGCAAATGTGATTGATTGACTCTTTTTGAGAGAAGCAGGCAAGGCTCACTGGCTTGCTGCTTTCTACCCTGCTGGGCATTTTGTTGATCCACTGTATTTCATCACTTCTTTAGGGTCAATGTCATCACTCCAACCGAAATGCCTAACCTATCCCATAACCCCAATCTGGAACTTTGGGACATTTTATAATCACTATGTTTTAGCCTAATAAACAACCCACTAGACTTCACCTCCTTGGAGCTGAATCTAAATTTTTCAGCATCTTCAAGACAGAGTTCTCTTCTTGGAAATCAACAACCCATTCCGTACAGAGCTTGTGGTCCACATGTCTGCATCTGATTGGTTCATATGCCCCAGCTCAAGTGTGCAACCCACTAGTTCTCACACTCACATTTAGCTGGGAAGGGTCTGAGAAGTCATCCAGCCCAGAGTGCTCTTTTTACAGACAGGAAAACCAGGGCTCCTTGTTACAAAGGTTCTTTCCCTTTCCCAACATCATCACTGTCCGTGTGGTGTAGACAACTGAGCCCAACATTTTGTGGTTCAATTAAGCAAGCCTTCCAACCAAGATTCAATGTTCCATGTGGCTTCCACCTTCAGGATTAACCTGAATGCACTTCAACAGTTAAAAGGCTGCAAAGCAGATGGGCTCTCGTCTACATTAAGGCCCCCTTCCCTCTTCTCCTGGGCTGAGAAGCTGAAGTTCTGCTCACACAGAAGGATGGCAAACATGTGCCAAGACTGGAGTGGCCCTCTGGGGTCAGCCCAGTTAAGTAATGATCCCCAAGATTTACACAACCAGCATAGGTAATCTGGACTGGCCCTCACCCCAGGGACAGGTTTAGGACGCAGCTGTAAGGCCGAGCAAGCCCTGGGTCCACAGTGTAGAAGGGGCACAAGGGAGGACCCAGCCCTGCCCTTTTTATCCTTCAAGAGCCCTGTGCAAACAATCCCAGGAAAGAAGCACTCAGGAAAACACACTGTCCTCACACGGTAAAAGAAGCGGCTTTGCACTTACTGTACACATTGGGGGTCAGCAGCATTGGATGCAGGGATGGACAAGAAAAAAAAACAAAAACACATTCTACCAGCAATCCATGTCATCAGAATAGACAGTCTTTGGAATAAGTATTTTCCCACATGCACGACTCTTGAGGCAGAAGCAGCTAGTAGACGACATGGGACAGGTGCGCTTGGTACAGAGGCATCAGCTTGGTTGGGAAGTAGAAAGGGTACGCTGCTTTCCAGTTCTGATCTCCCACTCTCTAGCCTTGTGACCTTGATTAAGTCATTCGGTCTCTCTGGACCTCAGTTTCTCACCTGAGCCATGGAGAAAGGGGGCCCTACTTCCTGGAGTGGTTCTGAGGCACACTGGGCACCACAGCCTGGATAGCCCCTAAAATGTCAGTTGTCCCCCAGATGATGGGTCTGAACCCAGGCTGCACACATACATCGTGATTTACACCAAACAGGTTTTCTTCCGCCCACGAGTCAAGCCCCCATCTGTGTGTGTCCCCCACCCCCACCCCAGGAAAGAACCAAGTCTGGAAGGTGCCCTGGCAGTTCTGCCTCCAGGACTTGGGGTGTAAAAGGAATAGAGGGATTTAAAGGGAAGACCCAAGGTCTCCTGGCTCTGGGTAGGGCTCGAGGACAGGGCTCGGAGGCGGCTTCGGACCCCTTCGAAAGGCGAAGGGCCTGGCTTACCGAGAAGAGCATCCGGAGGCGGGCAAGGGGCGCGCGGGGCACGCAGCAGAGAAACAGCCCTGCCCGGGCCCGGGGCGCTGGAGCCAGAGGAGGGCGAGGAGGAGAAGGAGGCTGCCGCCGGCTCCTGCCTCATTCTCCCGGGCAGCGCTGACCCGCCGGGCGCCGCCGGCTGGGGCGCCGGACCCCGAGCTCGCTGCTCATGTCCCCGTCCGCCGCTGGGGAGGTGTGCGCGCGGCCCGCTGGTCTCCAGTCGACACCCGGGGGCTCCTCATGCCCCGCTCCAGGGCTCGGCGGGAGGACCTCAGGGAAACAGCATGGGGAAGAAGGAGAGAGAGCGTGAGAGCGCGCAGAGCTGCGCCCCGTGGGGCCCGGGGGTGGGCAGACCGGCGGCAGCAGCCCCGCGCCGCCCCACCCACCGCGCCTCAGCGCCCCGCGCCGCGCGCCCGGCGGGGCGCCGAGCCCCAGAAACTTTAGCACATGGCCGGTCCGGCGGCCGCGGTGGCCGGAGCCGCCCCGTGTGTGGCACGGCCCTAAGCCCTTCCCGCCCCAGCTGGGGCCCCGGAGCGCAGCTTACCAGCGGAGGCGACCGCAGCAGCAAGTCGCCCACCTGGCCTCGCGCTGAGCAGTCGCACTAGCTGGGGAGGAGGAAGGGGCGGGTGGCGTCGGGGGCCCCACAGGGGAGGGGCCCCTCGAGGCGGCGATCGGCACCGCTCTGGCAGCCTGGGCGGGGGAGCGCGCGGGGCTGCGTGGGGGAGGGTCCTGCGCCCCGCGCCCCGCAGCGCAGCTGCTGACGACGCGCACGGGCTTCCCCGGCCTCGAGTCTGCGGAGCCAGCCCTGTTACCTAGCGACTCGCTCCGGGGAGCCCACGCTGACGCTTGCGAGGAGCAGGGCTGCGGCAGCCGAGGGGAGGGGCGGGAGGCCGGGGAAGGGGAGAGGGAGCTCCGGGCGGGGGGCGGGGGACGGGGCGGGGACGCCGGCGGCCGCGGCCCGGAACTCCTCCCTCTGCCTGACGCGCGGCTCTGGGGAGGGGGTCGGCGCCAGACGCGGCCTCATCCCGGCGTGGAGGAGGGACCCGCGATGGTTGGGGCCTGGATGGAGCTAGGTGCAGTGATGCCCCCCACTGAGGCCCAGCAGCAGCAGCAGGTGGCGGCGACGAGGCCCTTGGAGGCTCTGCGCCCATAGGCGCTGGGAGAGGAGCCCGGCCCCTGCGGGAGCATGGTGAATGAGGCTGTGGTGCATGGGTGTGTGACACGCTTCCACCCACGTGGCGTAAAGGGGCCCTGGGGACGTGGGTGAAGGAGGCACCTCCTTCCTCTGGCCTCCCTCCCTCCTGGACATTTTGCTCTTGTGCTGACTGCCTCTTCATCAAGGAAGCGCAGGTCGCTTAGCTCCCTGCTCTGAGCTCCTCCTACCTCCCAGAGAACCGGAGGATGGCCCTGTGGCCGAGACAGACTGCTGCCTCGTGCTCCAATCACCTCGTCCTCTAGCCTGGTGGCGCCTCCCCAGCCCAGCCCCGTCCAGCTGCCCACCTTGGGGGCCTTATGACCTGCTTCTAGGAGCTTTTCTTTTTCCTAATTTGAGGTCTCTCAGATCCACTGCGGTGCATATCCAGGCCCCTGCAATTGTTTGCAGTCTGTAGAACGTTTTTAAGTTACTTAACATCTTTGGTAAATGGACTCTTTGTCCCCAAAGCTCATACTGGTACTTAAAGTGCTCTATGAGTGTGAATATGCGTTTTCTTCTTGTCTTCTGGGATCTCCCCAAAGTACACACCAATACCCAGGAAATAGGGCCAAGGCCCCTGAGACATTCTTAGAGCCTGTATCCTCAGAGTATCCTCAGACCTCTGCCTGTATGCATAAGCAAAATGACTTACCCAAGTCCACAGGGTGCCTCAGAAGCCTGGCTGGGCCCAAACCCAGACCTAGTGGTTAGCAGATTCTCAGGGCTTGTGACTGTCCTCCTTCAATCACTCTGCAGGGACTCTTCCTTCACCATTTCTAAGATCCACCCACCTACTGAAATGCCGCCTCACTCTTAACCCCAACACAAAATAGAAACTACCTGCCACCTCATCCACAGGATCACTCCACCACACCCCTCCCCAGCCTGCTGTTCTTTCTTCCTCTCTGGTGTGGATGTGGACAGTTGGAGGCAGAAGGCAGACTTTGCATGTCATGAGAACCACACCTATCCTCAAGTGCCACACTTCTCCCTAAGGGGCTTTGGGAGATGCCAGGGCCTGAGCAGTTGCTGTTGGCCTGTAGACATTTCCTGCGTTTACTTTCTTTCAGTGAGATGCCAGTAACTCCCACTGAAAGCCTTACAAATGCATCCAAACAGAAATCATTGCCCAAAGGTAGCATTTTTTTCTGGAGAAAAGTATTTTGCGTCCTAGCCCATGGGTGACATTCCCCAGTGAAACTGGGAGCGATACTTCTGAGTTTCCCACCCAGTTTTCATGGGTAGTGGCTGCAGGTAATTGATCCACAGTAACTCCAGGACTATTTGCTGTTGCCAACTTGGCAGCTGGCCTTTTTCTCGGCACTAACTTCCTATGCACAGGTACAATTTGACATTTGATTTGGCCAGGGAGTCCAGTGTTCACAAGCCTCAGAGCTTGTGTTCCATGCACAGCCATACCCGGGACCACCTATTCCAGAAGACAAAGAACCTGTAGGAAAGAGTGAATTGACAACATAAGCATTTCAGGCACAATTTGCAGATATCTATTCCTAACAAAAGCTAGCATGTTCATCCAGGATGGGTTTGGGGGTGGGCAGGAGGGCTTCCCCCTATATCGCATTATTATTTTTCAGGCTTTTCTCAAATACAGAAGTGTAGAATGCACAAGCAGCCAGTATTAAGGAAACCATGCATCCCTAGGGCCACATGGGGCTTGTCCAGCTGCAGTGCAATGGAGGATCACCTTCTCACGCTCTTGATGAGTATCCCACTGGAATCAGGCCCAGTATCGGGCACTACACGTGCAGTGATGGCTTAGATAAGCCCTCTACCTTCCAGGTATCAACCAGGGCATTGTAGAAGGCTTAATCAATCCTTGCCAGGTGTTCCAGGAACTGAGACCTTTAACTACGAGAGTTCACTCTAACCTCATCAAACCCTGTAAGATATGTCTGTTATCTTTTCTTAAGAGTTTAAATTTCCTAAAATCTCACAGCTAGCAAAGGAGATAACCCAGTCTCATGGATCCTAAAGCTCAAGTTGCTAACAAATATCCTTTCCTGTCTGTCAGGTTAAGGATAAAGGAGCACAATGATAATATAGAGAATCCCTACTTGATGTTTAGGATTACCAGTGAGATATGTGTGTGAAGTCACCAGCACAGGTCCTGGAACAGGATAAGCTCTTGATAAAAGATAGCTATAATTTTATCATTAGAACCTCAATATTGTTTTGAATTTATGCTTTCTATTTTATATAGGTTATAAAATACTATTCTTGGGGGCATAGAGGAAAGTGATAGCTGTCTGCAGGCACTGCAGCTGGCTACACAGAGGTGGCATCTAAGTTTGGTTGTAAGGGTGGGTAGGTGTTGGGTAGGTAGAGAAGGCAAAAGCAAGAACAAGTTAATCAGGAGGAATGTACAGGGGAAATACCTGGAGCTGTGTAAACAAGCTGTTAAGAAAGCCCTGAGGTTGGAAAGCAGGAGATGGGACAGGTGGAGCAAGTCCTACAGATGTTGAAAGACATAGGTGGAGGAAGTTTCCTGAAGCTATGGAGGGACTGCCCTTCTCCTGAGACCCTGAGGGAGTCAGGAATCTGGGGAAGCCCACAACCCCTGCTAGGTAATGCTGCCTCCCTCCCTAAAGGAGCAAGCAAAGCCATCTGCTGAGCCTGTCCCATGGAGTGCAGCACGGGGAGAGAGGGTTAGGCACATAGCTGGGAAAGAGGTCAGCCTCTAGGCAGCCACCCATGCAAAGATTCAGTGGCTGTGCTTGACCCAGAGGGCTCCCATCACTCCTGAAAACAAGGGAATCATGGCCCTTGCCAGACTCAGCACTTTTCTGGGACATGGTAGGGCATACAGTACACTACACTAGACACTGTGTATGAGTGAAGACTTGATAACCTACAGAGGGCATTGTTTGCATAAGAACCATAAATAGCACACCATTCTCATCATGTTCCAAATACTAGCTTTATGTTTGCACAATCCATTCATTCATCAGTGCATTCATTCATTTAACAAATATTTATTAAGCAAGTTCTGTATGTTCAGCACTCTGTTGACTTCGGAAATTCACCAGTGAGCATGCTGTACATGCTGCCCTCCAGTTATTCCATCTCAAAAGGAAGAGACTTTGGTTACATTCCCATTCACAGTGTATGAGAGTTTCTCTTTCCCTGCAACCTCATCAGTATTTATTAGGCTTTGTCTTTTTAGTAACAACCACTCTTAACAGGTATGAGGTGGTACCTGATTGTACTTTAAATTGTGTCTCTAATCATTAGTGGCATTGAACATTTTCGTATACCTATTGGCCATTTGTATATCCCTTTTTAAGAGCTGTCTATTCAGGTCTTTTGCCTATTAAAAATAGAACCACTGGGCCAGGGATTTAGCTCAGTGGTTTCGCTGCTTGCTGTGCAAGCGCAAGGACCCAAGTTTGATCCCTGGTACCAAAAAAAAAAAAAAAAAATAGAACCACTATATCATCCAGCAATCCCACTACTGGATATATGTCCAAAAGAAATGAAATTATTATGTAGACATTCGCACAAAGAGTGTGGCCAGGCCTGAATCAGACGTGTGAGTCATGTGATTGGGCAGAAGAGGGCTCCTTCTCTGGATCAAGGGGATTGAGGAAGGTTTCCTAGAAGAGGAAATTTCTAAAATGGGTTCTGAAAGATGAGTGGGTCCCAGCCCAGTGAAAGGAAATGGTTTGAGGAAGAGAAAATGTTCCAGGTGCAGAACAACACTTCAGTTGCAAAAACAGGTTATGTGGAACTTCCAATGCTAAGAAATTGAGCCCATGAGAAAAGTCAAGCTTAGCTGTACCTTTTAGAGAAGAAAAACTGTGTGGTGTGTAGCTAAGGACCTAACCATATGATGTGGCAGTGAGGTTGGTAGGATCCAAAAGAAAGAATTTCCTTAGAAATGGCCCACAAGAAGTTGAAACCATCCTTCCCTTTTTAAAAAAAAAATAATTTTCTGTTTAAACAGTTTTCTGGAACCTCCATAATGACTGTGTTAGTTTACTTTCCCAATGACAGTGTACAAGAGTTCTCCTTTCTCCTCACCAACATTTTCTATGTTTTGTTTTTTTGGTGATGGCCATTCTAATAGGAAGGAAATGGTATCTGATTGCAGTTTTAATTTGTATCTCTCTGATTATTAGTGATGCTGAGCATTTTATATACAGATTGGCCATTTGTATGTCTCCTTTTGAGAAATGTCTATTCAGGTCTTTTGCCTGTTAAAAATAGAACTACTGTATCATCCAGCACTCCTACTACTGGGTATGCATCCAAAGGAAATGAAATCAGTATGTTGAAGAGGAATGTGGATGCCTGTGTTCACTGCAGCAGTATTCACAATGGCCAAGTGACAACTGATGAATGGATAAAGAAAATGCAGTACATATGCACAATGGAATACTACTTATCCACAAGAAACAGTAAACTTCTGTTATCCAGGGCAACATTAATGAGCCCAGAGGACATTATGCTATCTGAAATAAGCTAGGCACAAAAAGACAAACGCCACATAGCCTCGCCCACATGTGGAATCTAAATAAGTCGACCTTAGAGAATCAGAGAGTAGAATAGTGGGTACCAGAGGCTGGAGAGAGCAAAAGATAGGGAGAGATTGACCATCATGTGCCATTAACAATATTGTACCTAATATTTCAGAATAGTCAGAAGAGAGGATTTTCAATGCTCTCACCACAAGGTGATGTATGAGAT